AGGGAGTGCAGGCCTAGCTAGCAGAAGGGAGAAAGATGCTCCATGCAGGTCCTATAAGTGCACAAGTCACCCTCTCACTCCTTCTACCTCTCTTGAGCTCAGGAAAGTTTTATATGTTTCACTGTTGCTTCTTTTCAGTTTGTATTTGCTGTATCTATGTTGCTTGTTTTCCTTTTCCCTGTGTTATTTTTGTTCTTTCTTCCTCCGTTTTCCTTGAGTTTTTTGGGAGAATTTCTTTCTTTTTTTAAGATTTAGTTAAAAAATATTTATTTATTTAAAAGGTAGAGTTACAGAGAGGGAGAGGGAGAGGGAGAGGGAGAGAGGGAGAGAGATCTTCCATCTGCTGGTTCATTCCCTAAATGGCTGCAATGGCCAGGGCTGGGGGAACTCTACCTGGATCTCCCACATGGGTACAAAGGCCCAAACAGTTGAGCCATCTTCCGCTGCTTTCCCAGGCCATTAGCAGGGAGCTGGATAGGAAGTGGAGCAGCTGGGATTCCAGCCAGCCTCCATATGGGATACGGGAGCCACAGGCTGTGGCTTTAGCTAGTATGCCCCAGAGCCAGCCCCAGCAGAATTTCTTAAGCTCATGTTGACATGACTGATTTCTGTTTCTGTTTTGCTTCATTTAAAATTCTACAAGTATCACTTATTTAGTTTTCAAGTGTTTCATTCCATATCTTAGAGTTAACTGCAAGTACTCATAACCTTGTTTGTTTTCAATTTTTATAAAACTTATTTCACTGTATATTAATTAGATAAGGAATATTAGAACAAATTCTAAACATGTTCAGAGGTTACCTTTATATGTTCCTGAATTTACAATGAACACATGTTTTTCTTCTCAATGCTAGATGGAATCTGGGTTAGAATCTGGGGCATGTCTCTTGAATATAAGAGGGTCCAAAACAGCCTGGAAACCAGATCATAAATCTAAAGAAGGCTCTTTTAGCTGGCTTCTGTTTGAAGTGCTCGACTGAAACTCGATAATAGCGTGGTGGCAGGACAGATGAGCAAATTCAGTTCAGGACTGTGGGATTCATGTGCTTAATGTTTAGAAGGGAAGCGTTGAGTGCGAGACACATTGGGGCGATGCTTCCTAAGGACCCCTCCTCGTGCGCCTTGCAGGAACTCAGCCCGCTGTGCTGTGCTGTGCTTGCCCTGTTGGTATAGTTTAGATCATGCTGCCCCGCACCTTGATGTGGTGCTGCAGTTTAATTTCCACCCAGAGCGCGCTGCTGCAGCACATGCATATTCCTGTCCAACAGGAGAGTGCCCCCCATGTTGTACCTTGACTAAGCACTCCCGCCAACAAAGTGGTGTCAATGCTCGCTCCCACAGGGACCCTAGTTCCTTGACTTTGTGTTCATTCCTGACTGCTCCTGGGATCACCAAGCCAGCACTTGGTGTCATTTCTCTTCTTGCAGACTTGCTGTGTCAGAGCGGGTGAGCCATGCCTTGTGCCCACGGTGAGTTTCTGGTGGCAGGCAGAGTGCCGCCACAAGATCTGCGGCACTGGGCACTCAGGGTTGCCCCCATTGATGGGCTCATTGGTTATCTGATGAAAGTTACTTTGAATATTCATTGTGGTCAAGTTGTAAAATGTGACCTTTAGTTAACTTTTACAAGTTAAATGACTTCATATTATCCACAACACAGGAGGTTGGAAATAGATTGTAAATGTCCTAATAATCCCTACTCCACTTTTTTCTTACAGATTACCAAAATTGAAAATGTCAGTCATTTGTGTGATTTGAGAGTTTTAAATCTTGCCAGGAACCTTCTAAGTCACGTCGATAATCTTAACGGGCTGGATTCACTGACGGAACTTAACCTGAGACACAATCAAATCAGTTTTGTGGTGAGTGTTACGGTGGAATCCCTCTGCTCTCTGAGTTTCTTTCAGCACAAGGATGCAGGTGTTAAGCATTGCTGTCCACAAAGTAAAAATCTGCTGTTACTATATTTGTTCCTGAGTTTTGGAATTGTAGGTATCATCATTCAACTTTGTAATGCTGATTTGGGAATTCTTAAGGTGTTTTCCATTTTAAAGGATCAGTACAAAATTAGAAACAGAATAGCAGTGTCCTCCTTAAAGGATGGGGCAGCTGTGAAGGACTCCTGAATCCTTTCTCTCTGTCCTTGGTGTGTAGTAAGGTACTGATTTGAGGAATTGTGGCCCTGGGAGGGAGGTGCAGGCGGGCGTGCAGACCCTAAATCCCATGTCCTTGGCAGACAGCAGAGGCCTAGATTGTGGCCCTGGGAGGGAGGTGCGGGCGGGCGTGCAGACCCTAAATCCCACGTCCTTGGCAGACAGAAGAGGCCTAGTTCCAGCCCAGCTTTGTCCCTCGTTGGCTGTGTGGCCTTGGGTAGATAACTTTAGCTTGCTGGGCCTCAGCGGCGTGTTTTCCTAAACTGAGGGCGTTAGGCAGTTTGTCACTAGGGCTTCCTGGCTTGCTGCCCTGAGAACATAAAGATGGTAGAGAACTGGGCCTTGAGCAAGTGTGGATTACAGGAGACTCGTGAGCTCTGAGACAAACGATTTGTGGTTTTGCTGAAGATCAGCTTGCTGCTGAGCCAGTGCTGAGTGTGTGTGAGGAAGGCCATAGCTTCTGATGATTCGTAAAACATTATTTGTTTCTCCACAAGTTTTCTGTTGTTTAAACACTATAGCAAAAGGGCCTTAGGTTTTCTCTGCTGTCACTTAAGCACTTTTTTTTTTTTTTGACAGGCAGAGTTAGACAGTGAGAGAGAGACAGAGAAAAAGGCCTTCCTTCCATTGGTTCACTCCCCTAATGGCCGCTATGGCCGGTGCTGCGCCAATCTGAAACCAGGAGCCAGAGCCGGGTGCTTCCTCCCGGTCTCCCATGCAGGTGCAGGGACCCAAGCACTTGGGCCATCCTCCTGTGCCCTCCCAGGCCACAGCAGAGAGCTGGACTGGAAGAGGGGCAACTGAGACTAGTACCCGGCACCCGAACTGGGACTAGAACCCTGGGTGCCGGCGCTGCAAGCAGAGGATTAGCCAAGTGAGCCATGGCACTGGCCCCACTTAAGCACTTTTAAAAGCACCATCTGTTATATCTTAATGCTAGCCATTGCAAAGCACACCGGACACCGGAGTAAGGGAAAGGGTTTATTGGGGAACACCCTACAGACCAGAGTGAAGGGGCGGCGAAGGAAAAAGAGAGAAGGAGACTGTGAGAGAGAGACAGAGAGGAGAGGAGCTAGCAAGGAGAGAAGAGAGAGCAGAGAAGAGGAGAGAGGAGAGCAGAGCCAAGAGACCAGAGGAGGAGGCGAGAGAGAGGAACTGAAAGAGAGCAGGAGAGAAGGGCCAAGAGCCAAGAGAGGGCAGGAGAGAAGGACCGAGAGAGAGCAGGAGAGAAGGGCCAAGAGCCCAGAGGAGGAGGCGAGAGAGAGGAACCAAAAGAGAGCAGGAGAGAAGGGCCAAGAGAGCACGTGTTCAGGAACAGGCCCTTTTAAAACTTTGCCTGAGGGCGGGCAGGGAAGCAGGAGCAGCGAATCCCATTAGGATGGGGGTGGAGCCTGGCTCAGGTAGCTGGGCCATGTGGCCACCTGGCTACAACTGCGCCAGTTTCCTAACATTCCCCCCTTTTGTTTTTTATAAAGCAAGGTTTGTATGGGATTGTATTAGTCCCAAAAGTCCAAGAGGGGTAGAGCTACTTCCTGCTGACATGGGGCGATGATGCACTCTTCGCTGGCATGGGGCGATGTCTCAGGCCGCTGTCTCCTGGGTGGGGAGCGGAGTATCTCCCTGTAGCAGCATTTGGTTGACTGCCTGGTTGCTGAAGGCCTTCGTTTGTTCCATTATCACCTGATGTAAACACTTAGACACTGTAGTATAGAAGACAGGGTGAGAATAGTAACCAATGATCCTAAGAGTAGCATTAACCAGGTAATAAGAGGATTTTATGGAGAGGAAATGGAGGGGGTCTCTGGACCCTGGTGGGGACAGTTTGATGGATGTACCTTAAAGCTGATTCCAGCCAAGACTGGGAGAAAGGCCACTAACTTTTGCAGGTAGTGGGGTTTGTCTGTAGAGAAATTCTGAACAATCATACAACATTAACTGGGGAAGAGGACCATCAGTACACACAGGTTGGGAGTAGAGCCATTGGTGGTAGAGTAGAGGCTATGGTTACAAAGGAATGAGGCCCATGTGGGCTAGACAGGGTTTAGAACAAAGGACAGAATCATTAGAGGAGCTAAGAAAGGTGCTGTCTAAGCTACAAATAAGTTTTCTGATTGAGAGGCAAATAGAACCTGACAGAAGGGGCTTGATAATAGTCTGGTGGGCTTCAGGCCTTGTAAATTATGAGGCCCAGACTCATCTATCTCTTCATATAGCCTACATCCTAAGGGAGGTGTGAACCTCCTTGGGGAAGGCACCCTGTTGACTTCCATTACCTAGCTGGCCTGGGGAGAGCTGGCCAGGTAAAGGCAAGTGGCAACTCCAACAGGAAATATACAGCTCTGCCTGCAATGTTACTGACCCTACTTGGCCATTTCCTCAGTTGCAGTAGTCACTTTGAAAGCTGGGCTGAGTGAAGGGCTTTTCAGCTTAGAGCCAATAAGATCTGTGGCTCTGACCTGGGCATCCTTCGACTCCAGGGCAGGTCCATTTCCAGTGATCCAACTCTTGGCTGGCAGAGCTGCCAGGGCTCTTCACAAGCTGACTTCTGCTGAAGCCCAGGCTTACCACATTGAAAGCTACTGCAGTGGACTGGCCTGTTGGGTCTCGTTGAGGGCAGATCACTGTACAGAGCAGCCATTAACAGGCCTGCCACCCATTGCTTCTGATGCCTAGCTTTCTTTTCCTCCTGGTTTTGTTAAAGCAGACCAGAGGATGCAAGTCAAGGGGGTACTCAAGTCCCATCTCTAATCTTCAGTGGCCTAAACTAGAAGTCTGTAGTCACAGGCATGTTCTGTAGTAGTTTATGTTGAGGCAGACAGTCCCATGAGGAAAACTATATTCTCACTTTAAAACTTTCTTTCCCTTTGTTCTGAAAGGGAGGTCTTTCCTGTTTACCTCGCTGATGGCGAAGTAAATCTAGCTATGAAATTATAATTTAAGCTCTTATTTTGGCTATGCTATTACAGAAAAATGTTAGCCATCTCTTTTATAGGATGTAAAATCAAATTTTGCATCTTGGAGATTCCTTCATAACAGAAATAGTTTCCCACCTCAAAGAGAACAGAGAAATGAGAGAACAAGTTGGGCTTAGACTAGAGAAATGGGGGAGCAAGTCCCAGATCACTTACTGACAACAGCAATATCACATGAAAACTTAGAAAGCAGTTTTAACCATTAGATAACAACTTAAGAAAACATTACCAGAGGTCCAATGCCTTCCATAAATATTAATACATATATTTGGAAACATCTCTTAAATATCTAACATGATGTAGCTTGTTTAACCAGCAAATTTCAGCACAAGCATATAAAATGTTTCTAGCTTTTCTACCAACACATTTAAAACATGATACAGAGATTGAGGTCACACGAATTAAAATAGATCTGAATTATTTTAGCTGTTTAAATTGATGGACAGTCTTTTATCTATAAGCCAATTAACATAATATAATAGACCAATATGGCAGTTTTAATAGCTTTTTTTAAAATCTAACTTCTGTTTGTAAATTACCAATTGATTTGAATTGCTTTTTGTTTAGTAACCTCAGCTAACCATACTTTCTCACAGTTGCTACCTTTAATATATTATTGGCTTCATCTGTTTACAGAGTCATCCCAAAGTACTGAATACAATACCTGTGGCTGGAAAAATTCCATCAGAACCTATAGGAGGACAGCTAAACACAGAACCAACAATGCTTTAGTTTTATGAGCAAGAAATCTGATATATAAAATTGTGGATGACAAAGCTTTAAGTTTTCACATTTAAAATTATAAACTTATTAACCAACAAGAGGCACTTGCTTACTTCACAGCACTTTTGAAAGCATCTGTAGGATTTTACAAAGCATTTAACCCTTTAGGCCTCTGGGGCTTTCTCACTAAGGTAACTATCGTGTCTAGTAACACAAGATCATTAGACTTTTTAATTCTGACATTTGTATTAGTGCCATTTTATATTATAGAAACTTAAAATTTAGTACCACTTCACATCTTGACAGTACTTCTAATATAGTCCAAATAGCTTGATTAGTTGGTGTCTCTACAAGATGAGAGACATAGGTCCTTCGATTTTTTCAGTTGGGCCCGAACTGGAAAAACCGAAGTCCGGAATTTAATGGAAATTTCAGAGTCCAAATTTTTTGAAACTTCGATTTTTTGAATGCCTGTCAAGAATGTCAAGAAGGCTCAAAATCCAAAATATCTGGTTGAAATAAGATTCCTCAAAATCATGACATAATATAGACCAAATTTGATCATTGTTACAAGGTAATTATTTAAATGTTTGAAAATAAGCACATATTTAAATAACCCATTGCTCTTAATAAAAATTTAACTGTTTTTAAACAATTAGAATTTAACAGACATCAAGAGAATAGATTACTTTAACACATTGCTTTAACAGAGAATCATATTTTAATTTTATGTCAAAGAGAAACAGATTAGTATACTTGTGATGTTTTTCATCTGCCAATGTCCTTGATTTACATTTTGAAATAACCCATAACAAATTTCAGAGTAAGGTAACACATCAAATTTCAGCCTGAGTTACTTTAAACAGTGTTGAACTATTTTCAGTTTATAAACTAACCCAAATAGTTTTTTATAGAATAGCATGTGGAGTATACAAAAGTTTTACCCAATTTAAATTAGCAGTTACACCTAAATGACTTAGGATGCTGATATATTTTTATCTGAATTTAATTGAA